GAACTACTCTCGTAGTGTAGACAAGGCCTTCATATTCCTTTAGTTTACTGCTTAGTTGATGCACAATGCTACTGCACCACTTTTACCTTTATTCCAATCTCTCCTAAACAGTACATACCATTCAATAGCTATATTCCAGTCATGAGTGCTATTCCACCATGTTTTTGTAATCCCTGTAATATCTGTTCTAATCCTCCTGCTCAGATGCCCTATGGAAAAATAGTTAATGGAACTCCTATTTATTTTTGTGTGCAAAATTATGCACAAGTTAAACTCCAAACTTTCCCTGCAAAGTTCAATATACAGTGACTCAAAGGAAAGCCTCACCATCATCTAAAAGATACTCTAAACAGTACCTCTAATTACAAAAGTATAAATCACTCATAAAAGGTATCAATTACACAACAAGCCATTATCTTGATAATTTCATGACACAAAGACAGACAAAGAAACATCTTTCTATTTTAAAGCATTGGAATTCGATCCATTTCAAAGTTCGTGGAAAGTTTCAGAGTTCAACCTTTTTCCAATGCTTTCTAATTGGAAAAATCATTAAAATGGCAGTCCTTATTGAAAGACAACCACCTCAGTTATTCAGTGGAGAGATAGAAATAAAACCACTACTTTTGCAAAATTGGAAATTTCTTTTAAGAAGAACAGGAACTTGCACAGATATGCAGTATCTTCCTATAACATCTATGCTAGTGTGCTAAACAAAGTTAAATAAACCAAAATGTCCCCTCCCCCCACCCAATATACATACATATATTTTTTTCAATAAAAAAGTTTTACACTTTTACACAAACTGTGACAGCAATGATCGAATTGTGCCTTGGATGCATATTTTAGCCAGATTCTTAAACCTGCATGCCAGAAGTTCAACATTTTAGGAAAATCTGTAGCTGCTGCTCAAAATCAAAGGATCAAAGAAGCTAGAGTTACAGAACACTGACAATACAATCTGAGAGGCATAACAGTTTAAATGTTTTATATCGTCTGCTGTAAGAAAACAAAGAACTTGTTTCAGGCTGGGGGGCGAGGGAGAGAGAACAATGATAATATTTAATATATTAGAACGGGGGGCCAACCTGTATCTCTGGAACCACATGCGGCTCTTCAGAAATTAATATGCGGCTCCTTGTATAGGCACCGACTCTGGGGCTGGAGCTACAGGTGTCAAGTTTCCAAGGTGCCAGGCAGTGCTCACTGCTTACCCCCTGGCTCTGCCACAGGCCCTGCCTCCACTCCACGCCTTCCTGCGCCCTGCCGAGCCTGCCATGCCCTCTCAACAGACAGGACCCTGACCTCATCTGTGACACTTAGCTTCTTAACTCTACCAAGCTCCATCAAAAAGGAGCCTGAAAGACAGATGGCTTTAAGCCCCAAACTTCTCTTTATGGAGCAATCTCTGCCTGAGGAACGGAATAAAAAGCTTCAGTAATAACCGCTAATAGTCACAATGTAAAACCATTAGACCTAAGTAAAGTAGATTTATTATACCCTTTCCTTCTTTTAAATCCAAGCAACCCCAGATCCCTATTAAACCCTTATTCAGAGGCACCCAATATTTACCTCCCTACTTGAGTCATGCACATTGAAGACCAATGATCACTGGCACTTTGCCAGTCTGTATTGGCTATAGCCAAATACTAGCTATCACATTCCACTCCTTCAACTCCAGTTATAAGTGGCATGAGTAATTTGACAATTTGATGGGCAATTAAGTATGGAATTGAATCTAGCACCTCATTGTCTTGCCTTTGCTTAATTCATAATAGGAATTCATAATTTTAAATAGTATTCTGGCTGGTGTGCTACAGAATCTAGAGTGACAGACCTCTCACAATGTGCAACTCATCACCTGTTTTCCAGGTCTCATTCTTTGGTCTTGCAAAAGATCTTTCCTAAATGGATTTCCCATTTTACTAAACTACAGGAGCACTCAGATGCCCATTATCCCACAGCTAAACTTTACTTCCATGGTCTTACTGATGATACCCCATCCCTCCTACCTTCGGGGGAGGTGAGGAAGAGCCTTCACAGTCTTTATCTTATCTATATATCTCACCAAATGATAGTGGAACACACACAATTTTGGTCTTCACAGATGCACATATGGAGAAATTCCTTTCCATTCCTTACCAGGAGAAATAACCTAGACCTACTGGGTAGGATTTTCAAAAAGATATCTAAATGATTTTGGAGCACAAGTTCCATCAATTTTCAACAGAACTTGTGCCTTAAGTCAATTGGGTGCTTTTTAAAAGTCTCTTTCATTCTCCCTTTTCTGGGAAATACTACAAGACATATTTACATTATGGATTTCCCCTAGATGGCCCAGAAACTTTTGGGTTCTCACTTGTCTTTCTTCCTTCTTCTAAGATGCACTTTATTTACCACTTTCCTCTATTTCTTCTCTTTTCTCAGACCTCAGATCTTTGGACTTACCTACCATCATTGTGACAGGTGGTGTTCTTTAGTGAAAGAATGATAGAGACTGATCTCAATCATATCCTTTATTTTTCTATATTTTCCCCTCTTTAAAATGTTCAGCATTGATACATTAGAAGTACATAAAGTTAATCATTTTCATATGGTTGTCCAGACTGATATCGATCAATTGGTTTATGTTTAACTATATATTTTTAAAAATAAACAAAAGTTTTATTTAAAAAAATGCCTACTAAAAATTAAAAATATGCTTTTGGGCAGTGATCTTACATTCCAAATTTATCATGAAGCAAGTTTTTAAAGACAAGTTATAAATTTCTTAAAAACTGAGGTTAGAATTGAAATGTTACCAAAGAATAACAGAGGACCCACCATTTAAACTAGCTGAATTTTAGTTTACATCCAGATGAAGTACTTACCCATGAGGTCAGTAAGTTCTTTGACGTTTGTTAGATTCTTCTGCAGGGGAATCTGCCAACATTACTTTAAGCCTGACACCATTCACAATCTTGCCATGTAATGCAGTTATGGCATCGCTAGCACTTGTTCTGTCTGCAAACTTAGCATAGCCCACATTTTTTCCTAACACAAGGTAAACTTCTATAAGATGTCCAAACCGACTTAAAAAAAAAAAAAAAGAAGAAGATTGTTAGGCCACATTCTCTAAGCACTCCCTCAATAAAAATCACCCATATCAGTGCTTTACCCAACATTTAAAACAAAAAAACAAGTAAACCTGATCGACATCATGATCACTACAGGTGGTGTGGAAGTAACACTTTGGTAGTTCTTCTGACAACTTCAGAAAGGATGTCTGTGGGCTAGTTTACTTATGTGAGTGGACTATATTTGTTCACTTGTGATTTACATTTGAGAAGACCTCAATAAAGTGCCTTAAAAATAAATATTAAAAACTTATCATAGAAAGTCCTACTCTCCCAAGTCACCTGAGGGCTCCAAGGCAGGGCTGAGGCAGAGAGAAGACAAGACAAAATGTACTTATATGTAATATAAGTTATGTCAGGTCATAATATAGGATGCAAAGACCATGAAGAATAGCTTCCTTTCCCTTCAGACTCTGACTAAGGTAGTCCAGTAGCCCAAGTAGGTACATTTCAAATTCCACACAAACTGGCACTGGGGTTTTCTTTTTGTCTGTTTTCAAAAGTGGCTTGACTTTTAGAAAGCGCTGTCTCTCAGTTACGCCAATAGAGCTGGCAGATATCAGAATGGGGGAATGTTGCCATGTCCCTTAATACATACAAAATAATCCAACAAAGTTGGTAGAGCAACTCTAAAACGAGTTTTAAAAAGGTGAAATGGGCAAAAATTGTCTCCCAAGTCTTTGATACTAATCTGTTGGGTACCCTCAAATGACTTTTGGAGGCAGGCCAGTAGTACAAATAAGATTACATTACTTCAGGTCAGGTTTTAATTATACCAGAAGCAACTTCCTGAATCTATATTGTTATGCAGGTTTCCCACAATCTCTCAAATAATAAGCAGTTAAAATTTCAAGCTGAAATAGATATGTGATACCATAAGAGCATGAAGTACTAAAGCTTTCTGCAAATAAAGTGTATGAAACTGATAACTTGACTTCAGGATTATCTGCACATCAGGTTTAATAACTGGCAGCACAATATTGACATTTGTTTGGAAATGGACCATAATTTATTGAACATAAGAATGGCCACAATGGGTCAGACCAATGGACTTAACTACCTTCAGTAATTTTGTATCATTTGCAAACTTTGCCACCTGTCTTCCAAAAGTGGCCAATGCCAGATGCTATTAACAGAACGGGGCAATTATCAAGTGATCCATCCCACATCATCCAGTCCCAGCATCTGGTAATCAGAGGCTAATGTTACTCAGAGGATGGGGTTGCATCCCTGACCATCCTGGCTAATAGTCATTGATGGACCTATCCTCCATCAACTTAACTAATTCTTTGTTTGAACCCCATTATAGTTTTGGCCTTCAAAACCACCCTGGAAACAAGTTCCATAGCTTGACTGTGCATTGTGTGAAGAAGTACTTCCTTTCGTTTTAAAGCTGCTGCTTACTAATTACAGTAGCTCCTCACTTAAAGTCGTCCCGGTTAACGTTGTTTCATCATTACATTGCTGATCAATTAGGGAACATGCTCGTTTAAAGTTGCGCAATGCTCCCTTCTAACGTCGTTTGGCAGCCGCCTGCTTTGTCCCCTACTTGCAGGAAGAGCAGCCCGTTGCAGTTAGCTGGTGGGGGCTTGTAACCAGGGTGGACCAGCAGCCCCCCCATCAGCTCCCCATTCCCGTAAGTTCCCTGTGCTGCAGCCACCCAGCAGGCTATCAATTGCCTGGCAGTTCAGCTGTCCCTCCCCGCACTGCTAGGGTTAGCATACGTCTGGTTTTTCCCGGACATGTCCGGCTTTTCAGCAATCAAATCCCCGTCCAGGGGGGAATTGCCGAAAAGCCAAACATGTCCGGGAAAATGCCGGCCGGGCACTTCCTCTCCCGCGGCGGCTCTGCTACGCTCCTCCCCTCTCAGACTTTCAGAGCCGAGCTGCCCGAGCCAGCACTACCGGCTTCGGGCAGCTTGGCTCTTAAGGGCAGTTAGGAGCAGGGGTCCCAGGAGGGGGCAGTCAGGGGACAGGGAGCAGAAGGGTTTAGATCGGTCAGGAGTTC